ACTTAACTTTGTTTTGGGATGGGGGGAGGGAGTGGGGGAGGGGGGGGTTAGTGCCAGTTGATTATATGGTGGGTATTGTAAAATGTGCTTGTGGTTGTGTTTCTGTGAATGTCGGAGCTTGATTTTTCCCCCCTTTTCTTTAATTCCTTTTCCTAATGTGGCTTTTAAGTATACGAGGAGTTCCGCAGTTGTTAGTTGACGGACAAATATCGAAATAAATCTCTCTTTTTCTTCATGTGCACATTTGTATATTAGATGCCAGGAGTGTTTCTAGGAACAACACTAGTGTAAAGAGGTTTGTTTTCATAGGGTGGGGGAAAAAAGAAGAAGGAAAAAGAAAAAAAAAAAGAGAAAAGAAACCTATTTCTTATGTATGTGTGAACGAACCGGTGCAAATCTAATTTCATAAGCGACTGACCTGAGTATACTTAGCGTGAGGTTTTTGTGAGATAACTTTTACCTCCTGAGCAGAGATTGGTCTGTGAAAAAGTGATAAGCAGATTGGTGCTTGGGGAAAGTGTTCCTCTATTTTTTTTTAATTGTTATTATTGTTGTTATTTTTTCCCCCCTTCATGATCCAGAGATAAGAATCAAGTGGCTGCGCCTTGGTGCACGGTGATACACGCACCACTTCAGTTCCTCGGACAGGGAAAGGGGAGGGAGGGGTGGAAAATTTCACTCGACCAGAAACCAGACCTTAGAGAGGTTTTTTTTTTTTTTTTTTTTTTTCCTTCTAGACTTTCTCATGGAAAACTTTCCATCACGAAATAGCTCCTTGGGGGCTTTCAAATTTAACTATTGGTTTGCTAGAATGAGTTAAATGTAACCAAACTTCGCCCCCTGTCAAACCCTCTAATTCCCTTCCTCGAAACTAAATTAAGAAAAGCTGTCTCAGAGAGAGACCATTCCGAGCTGGTGAAAGACAGTTTGAGACAGCAAGATTATTTTCCTAAACCCAGATTAAAAATAATAATAATAATAATAATAATAATAATAAATAGAGACTAGAGCAAGATGATTTAGATCCCTTTAAGCTAGGCAGCGTAATTTTTCTTTTTTGTTGGAGTCTTCTCACTTAATGAAGGATGTGTGAATCTCACGTCTGCTTTATGCTGAATTAATGTCCTTCCCATATCTAGAATTGTGTATGGACTTGGTTAAATGCTTATTACTATATTTTTCAACCCCCTACCCATGACTTCATTGATGTATTCAACCTTTCAGCCATTCGAATTTAGAAAAGTTTTTCACTTTCCTTAGAATTGTGGTAAAGAGCGGGCGTTTTTAAGACAACAGGATAAGGTTCTTAAATAGAATTTAAAATGTTAGTTCAATTTATTAGTAAATATGCTTACTTAAAAAATGTGGAAACAGTTGTCTTCTGTAGCATCAGCACGGATGTATTTTCCAGAGATGTTTAATACTCCAGAATAAAAATCGATTTTAGAACAACAGTACCTATATGTCATTGTGTTATACTGTTTCATCTAAAATTTCAGAAATATTTTCGTTGTGTTTTCCTGCGTTCTTTAGTGGCTCRTTAAGTGCATTATAAGAATCAATTTTTGCTTAGCTTAAAAAAAAGTCCAGAGAAAAATCAAAATAATTTCTCTCCAGTGTAGCATAGCGCTTACAGGTCCTGTGCAAAGTTACTGGATTTCTGGAATCCTTTCCTCTCTTTAAATTTATATTTATTAAATCAGAGACCGTTAATCTCTGGTTGTATTTACTGCTGGAGATTTGCTTGTTTGATTGTCTCTTTTTTTGAGGGTTTAAGCTTTGCATCCCCACAGGAGTCTTTGGGGACTTCAGTGAAAAGGGCAGAGCGGATTCACTTTATTTTACTTTCTTCGGTTTATTCCCCTACTACCCAAGGATAACTTTGCCCCCCTAAAATTTGGAAAAACCAAAATAATCAGAAAGAACCCCCACCCTGCTTTCCCTGCGTGGCATCACCTCACATTTGACACGCAGTTCCTTTTCATAAGGGCCCAATGAGCAGCTACTATAATTCTGTCTCTAAATTCGTTTGACATTTTATTGCTCATGAAGAAATACAAGTGCTTGGAAAGTTTTTCTATCTATATATTTTAAAAACAAACAAACCTTAAGACCTGCTCAGCCCTGCAGTAAGCAGGTAGTGAGAAATATAACCGAGAGTCTCTTTCCACTAATTTTTAACATAAAGGGCGCGCTAAAGGGCAATATTTCACTTCTAAAAAAAAAAAAAAAAAAGGAAAAAAGAAGGAAAAAAATCTTTCTTTGGAGTAGCTTTGAAAAGACAACAAAAGAAGGGAAAAAAAAAGGATATTTGGAGCTTACTGGGGAAAGAGAGAGGAAAGGAAGTAACTTGTCATAAAAAAAAAAAGGAAAATTCAGTGCAGTGTGCTGCAATAAAAGAATATGACCGCTATAAAACTTTATAGGGTATAAATTTCTGAAGGTTAAGGAACTAAACGGCTGTAAAGCAAACAGTGCAAGAAAACTTTCAGGAACTCCTAAATTACTACAACGACTTGGGAGAAGTGGGGAAACCCAACGTGTAAATGCKTCTGTTTCTGCATCAGTCATATACAAAGCACCCCATCTTCTTTTTATTTATTTATTTTTTTAAGTGGTAGGGGGAAGTTAATAAATAGGACAGTGGGGGGAGAAGAGAAAGAGAAGGTGGGGAGGGACTTTTGCTAATTTATTCTTCTTTTGCAGATGCCGTAGAAATCCAGTCCTCTGGATGATTTCTTTTGTTCTTCCTCCTACCCTTCCTCTTTTAAGCAATTCCAGGCTGCCAGAATGCAGAACCATGCACACACCACCACCACCACCACTGTCCCCCCCACACAGGCACCYCTGCACTCACAACACTCGAAGTTCTGGCGAGACGTCTGGGCTCGGGAAGCTCTTTATCGCTTTACAGCTCCGGCCTTCCCCCTCCAGAGCAGAATGAGCAATTGTTTAGTCTCGGAATTTGAAACAATAGTGGTTTTCAAAAGCAACCCAATTCCGCCTCTTTTATTGCTAATAAACCGGCTGGATGGTGGGGGGCTCTTCTCCGCGGAAAACTTTAGAGCCATGAATAGGAGGAAGTCGATTTACCCCTTTTCTTTCTTCTTCTCCCTTTTCTGGTGCGGCTTCCCTCCCCCCTCGCCCTCCACTTTTGCTTTTATTTATCTGTTTTCTTTAATGATTTCGCTTAACGCCGCAGCTGCACCGCGCCGCGGCCGCGCTGCGCCGCGCGGGGCCGCGCGGTGGCGCCATTGCTCCACGCTAGGCGCGCCCCGCCCGCGCCCCGCCAACACCTTGACTGCATTAGCGGCGCAGGACCCGCCAGCCCCAGCATAAAATAGCGGGCTAATTACAGCTATTTTGCCCAATTTATTGGTCACCGGTTTATTTTTTTTTTTTTCTCCCCCTCTCCTAGAGTGTAGGTGTTTGGGGGGGGGGTTGGTTCTTTTTGTTAATTTATTTATTTATTTGAGATAAAGCGGGAAGGCTCTGTGCGGGGATGYGG